AGACGAGAAGAATGTTGTTGGTATTTTGAATGGTATAGCATTGAATCTGAAAATTATTTTTGGAAGAATGGACATTTTGATGACATTGATTCTTCCAATCCATGAACATGGGAGGCTTTTCCCTTTTTTATGTCTTCTTCTATTTCTTCCTTAGAATTTAGTAATTCTCATCGTTAAGATTTTGACTTCCTTGGTTATAATTTTCCCAAGGCATTTATTTTTTTCTAGCTATTGTGAATGGGATTGATCTTTTTAAAAATGTTTTTTGACTGGAAGAGTTAGACAGTGAGAGAGAGAGAGAGAGAGAGAGAGAGAGAGAGAGAGAGAGAAAGGTCTTCCTTCCTTTGGTTTACCCCCAAAATTGCAGCTGCTGCCAGCACACTGCAGTCCGGGCCATGCTGCTCTGATGCCAGGAGCCAGGTGCTTCCTCCTGGTCTCCAATGCGGGTGCAGGGCCCAAGCACATCCTCCTATGCATTCCTGTGCCACAGCAGAGAGCTGGACTGGAAGAGGAACAACTTGGAAAGAATCCGTTGCCCGACTGGGACTAGAACCTGGGGTGTTGGTGCTGCAGGTGGAGGATTAGCCTAGTGAGCCACAGGGCAGCCTATTAATGGGATTGATCTTAGAAGTTCTTTCTTAGCCATGGCATTGCGTGTGCGTTATGGCTGGTTTTTTTTTTTTTTTGTATCCTGCTATTTTATCAAACTCTTTTATGAGTTCCAGTAGTCTCCTAGTAAGTCTTTTGGTTCCCCTATATATATAATCCTATCATGTACAAATAGGGATTGCTTGACTTCATCCTTACTGATCTGAATCCCTTTCATATTTTTTCTTGCCTCATGGCTTTGGGTACAACTGCCAGAACTATATTGAACAGCAATGGAGAGAGTGGTCATTCTTGTCTGGTTCCAGATCTCAGTGGCAATGCTTCCAGTTTTTCCCCCTTTAATAGGATGCAGACATTGGTTTTGTCATAAATTGCCCTAATTACGTTGAGATTATTCCTTCTAAAGGGAATTTTCTTAGAGTTTTCTTAAGGAAAAGAAGTATTTTGAGGCAGTTTTTATTGCATTTTTAAAAGTAATTCCACCAACACATTTACCTTTAATGTGAGGGTCAGAGGACATCAACTATTCTCTGATTCATAATATTCACAGTGCATCTGCTAAAGACATTTCTCCTTTAGTGAGTTTTAATTATTTTCCACAATGCCCCCAACACTGCCTTGATTTTCTTGGAATGAATGACTTGAGTGTACAGGAGATGTTTCCAAAGAACAAGGTATAAACTTGTTTGTGAGGTCCGGGTATGCTTTCTTGCAGGTTACAACCTAAAAGTTACCAGTACCTTCTGGCCTTTATATTTGCCATTGAAGAGGTCAACAGGAGCCCACACCTGTTACCCAACGTGTCCCTGGGATTTGATCTCTACAACGCCATCCATAGTGAATGGAAGACCCTGGAGAGCACCCTGACCTGGTTGTCTGCAGTGGGCAAGGCCATTCCTAATTACACCTGTGTGAGGAAGAGCAAGTCTGTGGCAGTCATTACAGGAAACACAGGGGCGATTTCAGCACAGATAGGGACGCTGTTGGAACTCTACAAATTCCCTCAGGTAAGGGGAGAAAAATGTCTTTCTTCTTCAGGTGCCTTCTTAGGTAGCTTCAAGAGTATAAGAAGTAAATGTGAGGCCTGCGCCGTGGCTCACTAGGCTAATCCTCCACCTAGTGGTGCTGGCACACCGGGTTCTAGTCCCGGTCGGGGCTCTGAATTCTGTCCCGGTTGCCCCTCTTCCAGGCCAGCTCTCTGCTGTGGCCTGGGAAGGCAGTGGAGGATGGTCAAAGTGCTTGGGCCCTGCACCCCATGGGAGACCAGGAGAAGCACCTGGATCCTGCCTTCGGATCAGCGCAGTGCGCCAGCCACAGCGTGCCAGCCGTGGTGGCCATTGGCGGGTGAACCAACGGCAAAGGAAGACCTTTCTCTCTGTCTCTCTCTCACTATCCACTCTGCCTGTCACAAAAAAAAGATAAAAAAAGAACTGATTGGGTTCATGTGTTTTCAAAGCACCAGAATATAACTGTGTATGTGTGTGTGTCTTCACTGGACTTTTCCTTTTATGTATTGCTTTATTAGAAAGGCAGAGTTACAGAGAAGGGGAGAGAGAGATCTACTGAGAGAGAGGGAGAGAGAGAGAGAGAGAGAGAGAGAGTTTTTCATCTGCTGGTTCCCTCCCCAAATGGCCACAACAGCCACGGTGGGGTCATGCTGAAGCCAGGAGCCAGGTTTTTCTGCTGGGTCTCCCACATGGGTGGCAGGGACCCAAGGACATGGGCCATTTTCCCTGCTTTCACAGGCACATTAGAAGGGAGCTGGTTCATATGTGGAGCAGCCAGGAACCAAACAGGCACACATAGAGCTGCCCCACCACAACATTCCTGGTGGAGAGGAGGTTATGGGTAAATGGCAGCAAGAAATAATTGGCTATGCACTGACACCTTGAAGTGCTGAGCTGCAAAGCTCTCTCAGTCTTCCAGAAGTGCTCATAGGGAGAGTGACGTCCTGTAAATTGACTTCCAACACTTCCTTCAATCAACATCCTGCAATAATTGAGTGAAATCTTCTCAGAGCCAAGGGTGTGCATGGAGTGTGGTGCTTCCCTCCAATACATTCCGAGGTCTTGCCTCTGCAGAACTCATTTGTTCTCACATCTTCATTTTCACTCTAGCTCACCTATGGTCCTTTTGATCAAATTCTGGGAGAAAATCATCAGTTTACCTACCAGATGGCTCCCAGGGAATCATCTCTGGCCATGGGCATGGTGTCCTTGATGCTGCATTTCCACTGGACGTGGGTGGGGTTGGTCATCTCTGAGGACACCAGGGGCATTCAATTCCTGTGGGATATAAGACAAGAAATGAACAAGAATGAGATCTGTGAAGCCTTTGTGGAAATGCTCTCTGTCACAGACAGGACGTATGCATCACTTGAGTGGCACTACCTCTTTAGAATCATAGAATCAACTGCAAACGTGGTGGTCATTTATGGTGACACGAACTCGTTAATGAGCCTTAGCTTCTGGAGACACGGGCTCCTTGTGACTTGGAAAGTGTGGGTCACGACATCGCAATGGGATTTCATCACTAGTGAGACTGAGATCATAATGGACACATTCCATGGGACTTTGAGTTTTTCATACTCCCACAATGAAATCCCTGGTTTCAAGCATTTTCTCAAGACAGTGAATCCATCTAAGTACCCAGAAGACTTTTACCTCACTAAATTTTGGTTTCTCTATTTCCCCTGCTCGATTTCAAAGGCCGACTGTGAGACGTTGCAGGGCTGTCCCGCGAATGCCTCTCTGGAGGATCTGCCAGTGCACGTCTTTGACATGAGCATGTCTGAAGGGAGTTACCACATCTACAACGCCGTGTATGCCGTGGCCCACACCCTTCATGAAATGCTTCTTCAGCGGGTAGAGGTGCAGCCAGTGTGGAATGGAGATGGGTTGACGATGTACCCCTGGCAGGTACTGTGTCTTCTCCGGGCAGCTTTGCCGTGTTCCTTGTGGACCTATCACAGTACAGAGTCTGTGCTCACACTGTGCAGGGCCCAAGTACTTGGGCCATCCTCCACTGTACTCCCGGGCCACAGCAGAGAGCTGGACTGGAAGAGGAGCAACTGGGACAGAATCCGGCGCCCTGACCGGGACTCGAACCTGGTGTGCCAGTGCCACAAGGCAGAGGATTAGCCTATTGAGCCATGGTGCTGGCCTGACAATATCGTTGTAATTCTGTAATATTTCCACTATCAGACTGTGTATTGTAATACACAACAAGACACATATATGATGTATATAGTGTACTTTATGCATAGTCCCTTAACCATGTGCTATAAATGTATTATCAACTTAATAAGTATAATTTTAACACTTTTTAAAAAGAAACAATTTAAAGCAATCATTCTGATGAGCTTCAATAGTTTGACTCTAATCACAGATTCTTCTATCTAAATTGAATACACAATTATGTAAGTGTGCTTCCTTTCTTTCTTTCTTTTTTTTTTTTTTTGTTTTGTTTTGTTTTTAAGCTTAACTCCTTTCTGAAGAACATCAAATTTGACAACAGTGTTGGTGATGAAGTGAATCTGGATGAGGAACGAGTTTCTAGGGAAGACTATGACATTCTCAACTACTGGAATTTCCCTCAAGGCCTTCACCTCCAGGTGAAGGTTGGAAAGTTTTCACCACGGGCTCCACATGGTCACCGTCTTTCCATATCTGAGGAGATGATAGAGTGGAATGTGGAGTTTAAAGAGGTCAGTTGCACAGTTGAAATACCAGGTTTGTGGCTGGCACTGTGGCATAGGGGGTACAGGTACGACTTGCAGCACTGGCATTCCACGTGAGAGTCAGTTCAAGTCCCTGCTGCTCCTTTTCCAATCCAGCTCCCTGATAATGCACCTGGGAATGCAGCAGAAGATGGTCCACATGCTTGCACTCCTCATCCTTGTGGGTGACCTGGAAGAAGCTCTGGCTACTGGCTTGGATCAGATCAGCTCTGGCCATTGCCAGATTATGGAACATCTCTCTCACTCTCTCTCTCTCTCTCTCTCTCTCTCTCATTCTCTCCCTGTAACTGTGCCTTTCCAATAAATAAATAAGTCTTTTGCAAAACTATGCCAGTTTGTGCTTACAGAGAGATCTTCAGTACAGAGCTCCATGCTGGGAATTCTGCAGGTCCTGAGAGCATGGCAGAGCAGCACACAAGTGCATGCCAACTTCCCTTCTGCACTGCCATTTTGCTTACTCTGGTGATTTCCACTGAATGTCCAAGAAAATGTTTCCCTGTGGATAAATGAGTGTTACCTGCTGAAACAGAGTGCCCAGGCCATGAATGGAGTGTGCCGATTTCTTGTCCACCTGGATATTCTGACAATGCACAGTGGGAACAGAATCAGATAACCATCATGACACTTCTCAAGACTCTCTGATTTGTTTTAGATTCCCCATTCTGTGTGCAGTGAGAGCTGTGGCCCAGGATTCAGGAAAACCCACCAGGAGGGACAAGCTGCCTGTTGCTTCGACTGTACCCCTTGTCCAGAGCATGAGATTTCTAATGAGACAGGTACAGAATATAAAATTTTCTATAGTTTTGGTTATTTTAAGTTAAATTTATTTGGTCTTACGATGAACATGAAAGCACAGCATGAGATGCAAATTTGATATTTGTTGGGGTCTTGAAAGAGCTTAGAGTAATCATGTGTTGAGGACTTGAAGGCTTCCCAGAACCATCTCAGCCTGAGTGTCCTTGGCACTGCTCACTCATATTGGTCATGAGGGATGCAAGTGAATCCAAACTCTGGCCTGTTTCACCCCATTGTTTGCCTCTGTGTAGTCATGACTGTAGGCACTCAGGTACAACGGTCCCTTTTTTTATTATTTTTTTAAGCAGCCTACTCTGGCACTCTTCTTTTTCCCCTACAGCAGGTCCCAGCACTTCCCACAGAACACAAGCTTACCTTAATGGTAAGCAGATGGTGGGAGAAACTGGTTAGTCTCCCAGTGTCCACAGCTAGAAATCATAACATAGGGATTGGCCACGGGAAAATAGTCTAAATGAAAGAAGTACCTGAGAAGAGAGAGACCTCCAGTGGGAGTTGGGCACAGCTGCTAACTCACGTTGACATGTCTGCATTTCTACCAGAATGCTTGGTTCCAGTCAGCTCCTCCATTTCCATTCCAGCTCTGTGCTGCAGTGCATGTTTCAAATTTCTTTATCTACTGGAAAAGCAGATTTACACAGAGAGGGAGAGACAAAGAAAGAAGTCTTCTATTCATTGATTCACTGCATCAGGGCCAGGACCGGGCCACGCTGAAGCTAGGAGGCTGGAACTCCATCCAGGTCTCCCATGCAGGTGCCAGGGGCCCAATACTTGAGTCCCTCTTCTTCTGATATTCCAGGCATATTAGCTGGTAGCTGGATTGGAAGTGGAGCAGCTGGCACTGGTACAGGCACTCATAGAGCATGCCAGCATTGTGGGCAGCAGCTTGACCAGCTCTGGCACATGCTACCCCCTCACCCTGCTTCCTATCATGCACACCCTGGAAATAAGTGGATAGTTACTTGAGTACTTGGATCCCTTCCACCTTCCTGAGAGAAATAGGTTCCTGACTTTGGCCTGGCCCGGCCTTGGCTACTGTGGGTCTATGGAGAATGAACCAGCAAATGACAAAATCTTTCTCACTCTCTCTTCCCATTTCTGTGTCTCTTGCCATCTCTTTCTCTCTCTGCCTTATAATTAAGTACCATTAAAATTAATATTAGACTTCAGTATGGTTATCAGGTAGCTATCATTATAGTAACTAAGAGTTTCAATTTATGCAAAAATACACTTGATATCAATTATAGCAGAAAACAATTGTTCTGCTGACAGCAAGAAACATTCCTATAGTAACTTCAAGCATAAATGAATTTACCAAAATTTGCTAATGCCTATAAAACAATTGACTAAATGAAAGCGAGTGGAACAGGGGTGAACTGCTAAAATGAAACTCTATTTAGTGACAAGAAGATTAAAACTTAGTGTTATCAGTTCCTGTCATCTGTAAGGTATCCACTGTGACATTCTAACAGGCACTGGGATTTGACAAAGTGTTCAGAAGGTTAAATGGAAGGAAATTGAGAAGACTGGATTCCAGACCACATTCACAGAGGGGACATTGACTGTCACATGTGAAAATATACGTTACAGCTGAGACAGTGTTTCTTTCTTTACCTTTTGACACTCCTATGACCTCTGTATTCATATTTTGAAATGTTTTATAGTTGCCCTAATTCTCTTCACATATATCACTACTCTTACTGTTACATACTAAAACCTGGAACTTCCTGGAGTACCTCTGTAATTTCTATAGTTTGCTGACCCTATAACATTTTAGGAGAAAATTTATGGATTTTATTGACTATAACAAAGTTGTTGGAGGCCAGAAATATCCTAGGATTTCACTCACATTCCCTTTCATGGGAATCCTAGTTCTTCCAGGACATAGGATGAGTGGATTACACTCTGTGGTGCATTTTCCTTTTCTGAAAAATGGGATATCTCAGTGGGTAAAATATGGAATTCCATAGGTCTTCAAGTCCACATTCTATGTCTTGATCATGTAATATCACCCAGAACCTAGGCCCTTTCTTGCTTGTTGCTTGCTTTTCTGCATGAATGAATAAAAAATATGGGAGAATGATGTATTGAGCTAAAATAGGTATAGGTGATGGTTTCATTGTGATACAGAAAATTACACTTTGAACATAAAAGCTAATCACAAAGGGGAAATATGAATTTAATTGCTATTCCCAAGGCAAGAAGAGAGAGAGTACATGCATGTGCTCAATGAGAGAGTGAGAGAATGAGAGAGAGTGAGAGAAAAAGAGAGAAGAGGAAGAAAAGGAGAAGGGGACAGAAATTGCCTTGGAAATATACTCCATGTTTTAACCTTGGTTGGTGTCCAATAAGGCAACACAGCTAGAGAGAAATATTTTTTGTGACTGGGATGAGTGAATGCTGCCAGCCAAATAATGCCCTGCCTGTCTCACCAGATGTGGAGCAGTGTGTGCGCTGTCTAGACGACCAGTACCCAAATCCTGCACGAGATCGGTGCCTGCCCAAGGTCGTGGTGTTCCTGGCCTATGAAGACCCGTTAGGAGCAGCACTGGCCGGGGTGGCTCTTGGCTTCTCTGTGCTCACTGCTCTGGTACTTGTGGTGTTTGTGAAGCACAGAAACACTCCCCTAGTCAAGGCCAATAACCGCAACCTCAGCTACACCCTGCTCGCCTCCCTGTGTCTGTGCTTCCTCTGCTCCCTGCTTTTCCTTGGCCGTCCCAACACAGCCACCTGCATCCTCCAGCAGACCACGTTTGCCATCATGTTCACAGTGGCTGTGTCCACCATCTTGGCTAAAACCATCACCGTGGTCCTGGCTTTCAAGGCCACAGCACCAGGGAAGAGGATGAGGCAGTGGTTGGTGTCAGGCGCACCCAACTCTGTCATTCCCATCTGCTCCCTCCTCCAAGTGATGCTCTGTGGAATCTGGCTGGGAACGTGTCCTCCCTTCATTGACACAGACACACATGCTGAGCCTCAGCAGCTCCTGGTCCTGTGCAACAAGGGCTCTGCCACTCTCTTCTACCTCGTGCTGGGATACCTGGGGTCCCTGGCCCTGGGCAGCTTCTCAGTGGCTTTCTTGGCCAGGAGTCTGCCTGATACGTTCAATGAAGCCAAATACTTGACGTTCAGCATGCTGGTGTTCTGCAGTGTGTGGGTGACCTTCATTCCTGTGTATCATAGCACCAAGGGGAAGGTCATGGTGGCTGTGGAGGTCTTCTCCATCTTGGCCTCCAGTGCGGGACTCCTGGGCTGTATCTTTGCCCCCAAGTGCTACATCCTTCTGGTGCGGCCGAACAGGAATGTTTTACAAGGAATAAAGTAGAAAGCAAGGTCTAGGGGACCATAAGCAGACTGTGCATTAACTCACAGGTTTTATAAAATGAAAGCAAGGGCTAAATCTAACCACAGCACTCTGGTACACAGGACTGAGATAGAGCAGAACACTGCACCTTCTCATTGGACACAAGACTCTCCTTTCTTTCACTAACAGCTCAGGACACTCTAGCCTTCTTTCTATTCATCCTAATAACATGTAGGGTTTTTTTCTTTTTGACTGTGTTAATGTAATTTTAACATCATACCTTAAAATTTCTAGTTCTTGTCACATAAATTACTTTTCCAGTGCTTTTACATTACAGGTTTAAATTGCACAACATGATGTTTTGATGCAGCTATACAAACAGAACTGATGACTAGAGTCAAACAAAGTCACATATGCATCATGTGCATAGTTGTATTTTCCTGTGTGTGCACCACAAAGTAGCTAAAAGTTGCACTCCTAACACATTTCCAGTATAGAGTAGTATTATCTGTAGTCATGCTGTGTGCATCAGACTTACTCATTTCACTCACTAAACATTTGTAACCTCTGACCTGTTTTTCACACCTTCTCCTGACCTCATTAGCCACAGGAACACTATCCTATTTGTGATAACACAGATAAACGTGGTGGAGTACAGGAAATTGGACCATGCCATTATGAGGCCTGATGTGTTCAAAATCTGCAAGGTAGAGCAGGAGGCTCAGAACTCAGGAAGGCCAAGGCTGCAGGCCTTGTCTAGTGTCCTTCTGATGAGCCAGGAAGGGCTGAAGTTGTCCATAGTTTGCAGAGCTGCCTGCTGTAAAGTCTCCTGTCTTGGTTTTCAACTCGGACCTTCCACTGACTACAGCAGACCCAGCCAGAGTAGCAAGGGAAACGTTCTTTGCTCAAAGTCCACCAACTTCAACACTCATCTCATCTAAAACAACCAACCAGAAACCCCAGAGTAATATTGATCAAATGTCAGGGTAATCAAGGGTACAGTAGGGATGAAACATTTAATGAAATATCACATATTTTCTTATTCAGCTAGGGCAAAATCCACTAATTTGATTTACCATGTACAGGGAAACAGAGAACGTTGCATTGCAGGTACATATCTGTGCTAGGCTGACCAGGAAAATGAGTAGAGGAATGGTCTTTCTAGGTGCATCAAACTCCTTTCCCCAAAGAACAGAATCACAAGAGCATGGTCTCACTGCAATTTTGCAAAGTGCAAAGGGAAGAGATGGGAGATGCTCCTGGGAAGATGGAACAAACTGATATTTCCTACTGGGCTACGTTCAGGCGCTTGGATTCTCTTCTGTGGTGGATGGAAAGTGTGAGGGCTGTGAGTCAGGCACAGTCATTACACCATTAACATCATCTTGGGGGCAGAATGATGGTTGGGGAAGAGAGGGCTGAATGTGCCAAAGGGCCCGTCAGGTTTTCTGGCTCTGTCTCTGGCAACTGCAGACCTCTTTATGCAACAGACACTGGGGTCTCATCTCAGCACACCCAATTTCACTCTGCATCATTTAGTGAAAACACAGGGGCTTTCACTGTTATACAGTAGGTTAATCTTCCATGTGCAACACTGACATAACATGTGGGCTCTTGTTCCAGTCCCAGTTGCTCCACTTTCTTTCCAGATCTCTGCTATGTCCTGTGAAGGCTGTAGAAGATGGCCCAAGTGCTTGGGCCACTGCTTCATGCCGGAGACCTGGAGGAAGCTCCTGGCTCCTGGCTTCTGATTGGCTCAGCTCCGGCTGTTATGGCCATTTGGGGAGTGAAGCAATGGATAGAAGACCTTTCTCTCTGTCTCTCCTTCTCACTGTATGTAAATCTACCTCTCAAATAAATAAATAAATATCTGGAGAAAAAAGAAGTGGAGTGGCCAGGGCTTGACTGCCAGCCATGTGGGATGCCAGCATGGCAGATACCACAAGGCTATACCACAAGGGCAGCCCCTGCATTTTCTTAACAAAATGGCTACAGATAGCCAGAAAACAAACAGTGGAGGCACAATAGGATCTTCCATCTCAAAGCAAGAAAATGCTTAAAACTGTTTCTGGTAGTAAAACTGGGAGGATTGAAAAATAAGAAAAATAAGTGAAAAAGTAAAGGTGTTACTAGAATCAGAAAATTATAAACACAAAGATAAAGTGGAAACTTATGATACTTCAGATACTCCACACTTCCACCTTGTCTAACAAAGCACTACATAGAAAGGGTAGAAAGAACTATGGCAAGTCCTTGACCAGAGAAGAAAAAGGAAAGGAGAAAGCTAATGAGCACTAACAGGGGGCTGTACCACTATCACCAGGGCACATCCTGCTTAATAGTCAGTGGGAGGCTCTCCAAGGAGGAGGGAAGGCAGAGTGAAGCAAAGCTACTCTTTATCCATAGCTTTTAAGTCTGTTCGCTAAGCCATTCATTCCTTGAGTCTTTGTTATATAAGGAAAATGCTTTCTTTGGATTGAAAAAACAACTCTGAAAGGGTTTGTGCTGTACACACATGTGTCTGTTCATTTAGCAGACATGTGGACATGTTTGCCAGCTGTTTGCTGAAACGCAGAGAACAATTCACCCCAGTAGCATGGAGTGAGCTTGATGTCCAATCTTGATGTATCATTTCATCCTGTACTGAAGACAACCAAAATCCTCCACAATTCTTGATTCTAGGTTTGGTTCAGGCCAAACCTAAGATGACACTGTAATATAACATTATTTCATAAAGTCAGAAATTGCAATTTTAAAGAAGGTAGTGGGGGGCTGACACTGTGGCTGGGGTATAGGGTTGCCACCTGCAGTGCTGCCATCCCATGTGGCATCAGTTAAAATCCCAGCAGCTCCTCTTCTGATCCTGCTCTCTGCTGTGGCCTGGGAAAGCAGTGTAGATGGCCCTAGTGCTTGGGCCCCTGCACCCATGTGGGAGATGCGAGGAAGCTCCTGTAATCAGATCTGCTCAGTTCTGTTGTGGGGCGAAAGCAACTTTGGCTGGCTGACAAGGTCACAGCAGAAGGTCTGTCTCAGCATTTGGTAAGAACAACAGCTGTGGTGCTCTTGGTGGTTTTAGTTTTGTTGGGAACTACACTCTGCATAAGAAAGCCAGAGCTTCCTGGTGGCCCTGCTAATGATAGCTGTATTATTAATTTTAGGGAAGAACGCTTTGTCTCATAACACCCAAAATGTCCACTGCTTTGTAGAATTTTAAGCATGCAGAATGTTAGTGTAGTAGAAATGGTTAATGCTTTATGCAAGGTTGACCTGTTTATGGAAAAGGGTTAAAAGGCAACAGGCTCCCTGGTAATATACTTCCCACTACAATAAAGATAAATGTTATTAAAGCTTTAATTCAGTAAATGTTACAAATACAAGAATGGTTAGGATGTCAAAACTGTAGTATAGATCTAAGTGAACCTTTAAATAAGTACAATAAAGAAATGAAAGAATTACAGAAAGAACTGCAAAGAGGGGATCCATTTTAAAAAGGGCCTGCTTTGACCTGGTGCTTCTAATAAAGATTAGATTAGGAAGATACTACTCTAGCTTGTGTAGCCAATTTCTCCATAGCTCAGCAGCACTCCAGGCCTTGGCGTGTGTGGGCGGCCCGTTATCTTGCACCTGTCTGTGATTGTAACCCATGCTCTAATGTGCCCTTGAGAAAAAAAAAAAGAAATTGTAATTAGAAACAAATGGACAACAGACTTGTCATTGTGAGAAAACAGAATCATTATTTGACTTCTGATAAAAATATAGTCTGGCGCTTGAGAGCCAGAGCCATGCCATCAGCCTTGCTGTGAGTGTGTCTCTCATTTCTTTAAGCGTCGACACCTTTCACACCTTGGGGACTCTGGAGTGCTGGAGCTGGTCTCAGGCAGTTCTGCCCATTGCAACAATTTGGAGTGGATGTGGGAGACCGGGAAGAAGCACCTGGCTCCTGGCTTTGGATTGGCACAGCTCCAGTCATTCTCCTCTTTTCTGGAGTGAACCGATGGATAGAAGACCCCCCCCCTGTCTTTCTCTCTCTCTTTTCCAACTGTCTGTAACTCTACCTCTCATATACTAACCGATGGAGTAAATAAAGGGGAGAGTGATCCAACATGGGAAGTGAGATACTCAGCAGACTCATAGAATGGCGGATGTCCTAAATAGCACTCTGGCCTCAGAATCAGCCCTAAAGGCATTCGGAGCTGGCTGAAAAGCTCATGAGAGTATTTCAGGCATGGAAAGCCAAGACACTCTGGCAAAAGATCTCTGCGAGTGAGATCCCAGTGGAAAGAACAGGTCATCAAAGAAGGAGGTACCTTTCTCTGAAGGGAGGAGAGAACCTCCACTTTGACTATGACCTTGTCTAAACAAGATAAGAGTCGGAGAACTCAGAGGGCTTCCATAGCCTTGGAAACTCATAACTGGAGCATAGGGAGATTACTGATGCCATAAACAGGAGTGTCAATTGGTAAAGTCAACAACAGGAGTCACTGTGCACTTACTCCTCATGTAGGATCTCGGTCCTTAACGTGCTGTACACTGAGGCTTAATGCTATAACGAGTACCCAAACAGTATATTTCACTTTGTGTTTCTATGGGGGTGCAAACGACTGAAATCTTTACTTAATATATACTAAACTGATCTTCTGTAAAAAAAAAAAAAAAAAGAAAAGAAAGAAATTTTCAATTCCCAACTTGACTCTCACTGGGATTAAACATGACAATAGGTCTGATCTGATTTCATCATCATTTAAAAAAAATCATCTATTATTTTTCACTTTATGTTTCTGTGTGGGAGCAAACTGTTGAAATCCTTACTTAAGGTATACTAAGCTGATCTTCTGTATATTAAGATAATCGAAAATGAATCTTGATGTGAATGGAAGGGGAGAGGGAGTGGGAAAGGGGAGGGTTGTTGGTGGGAGGGACGGTATGGGGGGGGAAGCCATTGTAACCCATGAGTCGTACTTTGGAAATTTATATTCATTAAATAAAAGATAAAAAAAAAGTCGTACTTTGGAAATTTATATGCATTAAATAAAAGTTTAAAAAAAAAAAAAAGAATCCCAAGACAGCAAAAAAAATAAAATAAAATAAAATAAAATAAATAAAATTAAAAAAAATCTGATCTTAGAATATTTGATGATACTCATAGATGTTTACATCTCTTCAAGTGTCTCCTCTCAGACTGACTATATATTGCCAGGGGAAAAGTTATGAAATAATAGAGAAATGAAAATAAAAGATAGAGACATGGACAGCACCTTGTCACACGGATCAAAGTGAACACCAATGAGTGTTAGATGAATATGTGCTCATACTGTAACACTCGGAGAAAGATTCCAGCCCTGAACACTAGAACAGCCAATTCAACGTAAGGATCACTCAGCTGACAAAGGGTGTGTGTACAGCCACCACTTCTTTAAAAACAATGTCAAGGACACAGAAAGTTAAAAGAAAATGAAGAGAGGAGAGCAGCAAGATGGCAAAATAGGAAGGGGGCACACTGATAGTCCGGGGAGAGACAGTTTAATAAAAGTGGAGATACTGCAGGTTCAAGGAAGAGTAGGGGAAGAAACAGCAGAAGAAACACTTCTGGAACTATGATTCACAGTGGACCTGCGTGGAGAGCGTGGGAGCCCACGGTTCCAGACACCAGCAGCAGAATCAACGCACCAGCACTGGAACGTGAGTTGAGCCAAACCTCAATAGCCCGAGACACCGGTGGGCAAGTGGAAAGAGGAGACTAGCAGGAATGGGGCTTGAAACCCCATGGAGAAAAGTTCATCATGCTAACTAGAAGAGAGAGGAAAAAAAATGTGACTGATAGGGACATGAGTTTTTCTCTCTCCACTCACCTCTCAAAGGTGAGCAAGACAGAGCAGGCACCATTTTGGACATACGTTATAAGTGGGGTGACCTCAGGGATGCGCCAGCCCACAGCCAAGCAGAAAAACCTGACTCTGGGGGTGTGTGTGTGAAATAACAGGAGATTAGGACCTAGTGAATGTATGGTGCTAATGAACTGAGACTGTGAATAAAGAGATGGTGGGTGAGAGAACTCACAGAGTTCGCATGAGTACTCTCCAGAGAGCTACAATTCGGAAACCTTGGCAAACCCAGTGGGAGACTGCAGGAGAATTTGAGCCCACATTGAGGGCAGAACAGATTCCCTGTGTGGTCCTTGGCAAAGAGCTTCTGATCTCTGGCTCCTGTGGGTATATCATTCACCTGCTAACTACCTTCAATTCCACTCAGCTGTGTGAAATTACTTCACTTCTGAATCAAAAAAACAAAGAAAGAAAAGAGAGAGATTTACCATGGCTAACCCGGGAGTGTCACATTTGGCACACCCTTAACCCTGAGGAACCAAACAGAGCTCTCAGGCCACACCCATCTCAAGCCTCTAAGGCTCCATCAAAAGCAGACAGTCCACTTAATACAGTCATAGTGTAACAAGGAAAAACACCACAGCAAGGGAAGAAGAATCCAAAGAATATCTCCACAATGCCAAGCTACAAATGCAGAAACTGAGGAAACAAGAACAAGGAAAACATTATGGCACACCCAAATAAACAAGACACCCCAAGCCAAGATTATGAAGATGAGATGGAAGAAATGCAAGACATCTATTTCAAAAAATTTATGATAAGAACAATTAGAAGATTTCAAAAACAAATGCTTGAGCTATGGAATTCCTCACTGGACAGGTTAGAAAATCTCCTTCGAGAAAATGAAATCTTAAGGAGGAATCAAAATGAAATGCAGAAACCAGTAGAACACAAAGTGTGATAGTGAAGAGAAATCAAAATGAAATGAATAACTCAATAGACAAAATGACAAACACATTAGAGAGCCTTAAAAACAGAGTCAGTGAAACAGAAGACAGAATATCAGACTTAGAACACAGAGCACAGAAAAGTATACAGTCAAACCAAAGAAAAGAAGAGGAAATTAGAAATTAAAAAATATTGTTGGGAATCTACAGGATACTATTAAAAAACCAACATTCGAGTTCTAGGAGTTCCTGAAGGCATGGAGAGAGAGAAAGGATTAGAAGGCCTTTTTAGTGAGATACTTGCAGAGAACTTCCCAGGTTTGGAGAAGAACAGAGACATCCTAGTACAGGAAGTCATAGAACCCCTAGTAAACATGACCAAAGGAGATCCTCACCACGACATGTTGTAATCAAACTCACCACAGTGAAACATAAAGAAAAGATTCTAAAATGTGCAAGAGAAAAATGTCAGATTACTCTCAGAGGTTCTCCATAACAGAGACAGAGAGACCCATAACAGAGACAGAAATTGAAACAGCAATAAAGGTCCTCCCAACAAAGAAAAGCCCAGGACCAGATGGATTCCCTGTTGAATTCTACCAGACATTTAAAGAAGAACTAACTCCAATTCTTCACAAACTATTCAGAACAATCGAAAAAGAGGGAATCCTCCCAAATTCTTTCTAGGATGGCAGCATCACCTTAATCCCTAAGCCAGAGAAAGATGCAGCACTTGATCAGCCCTCACCCTGACCTGTTGATGAGCAGCTTAATATGTTATCCCTCTTGGTATTTTTTTTGTTTGTTC